GTCCCCTCTCAGCCTTCTCTTCTTCAGGTTGAACAAGCCCAGCTCCCTCAGCCTTTCCTCATAGGAGAGATACTCCAGTCCCCTCATCATCCTTGTAGCCCTCCTCTGGACTGTCTCCAGTAGCTCCTCATCTTTCTTGAACTGGGGAGCCCAGAACTGGACACAGTACTCCAGATGGGGCCTCACTAAGGCAGAGTAGAGGGGAAGGAGAACCTCCCTCGTCCTGCTGGCCACACTCCTCTTGATGCACCCCAGGATCCCATTGGCCTTCTTGGCAGTCAGGGCACACTGCTGGCTCATGTTACGTATTGTGATCCTTAAACCTCACTGATCAATTCTTTCCAACAAGACTAACTAATGCCCTAAAAAAACTATTGCCCATCAGTTTCTCTGCAGGGGGAAAAAAAAAGCCTTGAGGTGATGCTGATACTCACCAAACCCAGCAGAGCTGTATGTGGTTGTACAGAATTTCTCATGGTCTTCACACTTATAGGTTTTAAGACAGTTCCAGTTCGAGTGCTCATTGTCGCACGTGTAGCAAAACAGCGAGGAAGCTGGAAAGAGCGCACACGACATACATTAGTGGTGTCCAGCAACACCCTCCTGGGAAGAAAGTGTCAAAAGCCATGTCCCTTCTTGGAAAATACAAGGTGAAAAGTATGTTATGAACACCTTTTCATGACAAGTGAAAGAAGAAGTTGGCTTTGGTTAGTGAAGCTGAAAAAGCAAACAAACAGAGCAAAAGAAATTTTCTTTCTTTACTTGCGATTTTCGGTGATTAAACCTGAAAACATATTTTTCCAGCCTGAGCAGCACTCTCAGGTGACCCTTCTTTTTTCCCCAGGTCCACATTGGCCTGGTTGACAGCCAATCTGCAAAAACAGAGCTCGCAGCCTGCCCAGCTGGGCTAGTATAGTTCTGGCAAGAAGAGGATGAACTGGCACTGTTCTCAGGTGAGAACTTAGTTTTCAGGATTTTCAAACTGCATCTGCAAAACACCGTACCGATGTGAATTAATTAAAGCCTATGACAGCCCTGTGAGCTAAATTACTGAGCACAGGGCCACATTAAAGGGAGTTCCCTGGGAGAGGTTTCTCTGGACAATGGAGAGATTATTTCTGCCAGCACCTGGAACAACATGTTCTCAGTGATATTATTAGCAGGGCTGAGCCAGGTCTATTACAAAGACAGAAGGAGGTAAGATACCTATTTCTGAACAAAACTGAAGTAAATCGAGTCAAACGTCCAGCTGAGCCAGCGAGCCATGCTACAAACAAACACAGGCACGTGCTATCTCATTCCCTGGAGATAGATTCACAGTTGGTGGAAACTGTTTCCCTCCTGTTCAGAGTCCCATGCAACACTCCGCATTTCTGAGCAGGGCTGACAGAGGCAGTTGAGCTGCTCTCTGGAAAGCAGTTGTCACTAGTGGTGGAGAGTTCCTGGTCAAAGGTAACCAAATTGTACATGAGGGAGGGTCCCTCCTGTAGGCTGAAATTTCTCTGATTCAGTTCCTGACTTTCTCAACCCAAGAAGGCTCTCATTTCTGCACAGAAGAGTCCCTTTTGATTGAACCTGAACCTTTTTTTAACAAGGAAACTCCTCCCAGGGATTCTCCAAAGCCCAGCCGCTGTTGATTCAAATTCATATCTGAAATTGAACCTGCCCATTATGTTTGGTTAGACAATTCCAGAAGCAGTTTTAAAAGAGAATTTAAAGCCATTTTAGGCCCTATCTACCCCAGGTAGGAGAAGAAAAGGCCACCCCTCTCTGCTGCAGGGAGCTCAGATGCCTTGTACATGGCCCTGGAGCCAGCTCTGGGTTCTGGTGCCCCAGCGTACAACTGACCATCTTGCTCTGAAACCTACCCAGATGCTCTTTTCTAGTGCCAGGTGTTGTGAGCGCAGCTGTTCTCTGAACAACAGATAAAATCACCCATATTGCATCTTGGGTTTAACTTTTCTTTAACTCACTATTCAGCAATCACTGCTTCTCCATCACTTGCATAAGTTAAGCCTCTCACCTCTCCTCCTGGAGCTTCCCCAGCCTGATCTGTAAGCTACTGTCCTTTTGCAGACCATGCCAGAGCAATCCCAAACACGCTGCCTAGCAAGTGTTATTGCATTGTACAGACCCTGTAGGTCTGTGTGATTTGCTTTTCTGCCAAATCTCAATATTGCTCAAACCACTTCCTACTGCAGATGGAGCCGAGACCCCAGAACGTGCGTGAAAGCAACTGAAATGCACTCATGTTCACTGACTGATGCAAGGAAAATCCCTCCTGGTCAGGAAACAATAACAGATTAAACCATTATAGCTGTTATAAAGCCTTGCCTACATCTGGTCTCCACCATCCATTAGCTCTAGTTTTGCGAATGCAGCCAGAAATAGTCTTAACAGTGCAAAAAGCCTTTCAGTACTCCTCAGGATTGCAAATACATGCACAGAGCCAATGTTTTGCAACTGGATATTTCTACACAATCATCTAGTTACATCTAGTGCACCTCCTTTTGAAAGAGGACAAGCAAAGAACATTGTGGATTCCGTTACAAACACACTCACTCCCAGACACTTAAAAAAAGTTCTTCAAACCTACGAACAAAGAGCTCTTCGGCTTTCAAATATCTGCCATCTACCTAGTTTCTGAATTGTAATGTCATTGTGGAAATTAAAGTGAAACACTGGCAGAACGTTCAGTGTCAACACCAGCCCTTTTACCTTTACCAACAACTTCTCAAGTTTCACTCAGGAACAAAATAAAACCAAAAAGGCAAAACTGTGAGCCCAGCTTAATTCCTATTAGGACTTTTCAGTTCACATATCTGTCTTCAGATGTGAGTGGTCACAGTTTGATTCTTGAGGGTGTGAGAAACCAGAGCGGTGAGCTCATCTTCTTTGAGTTATGGGTACGTCGGCAGAACTCATCACAAAGTTAAGGCTCAACCACAATAAATATTGCTTGACACAGCCGATGCCAAAGAAAAACTGCACTAACAAGACCTCACCAATCGCAATAAAAGCTGTCAAACCTTCTTGTCCCTGCTTTATCTTTAATTTCTTTTCTGGTATTTTCATCCTCTCCATCTGGGTCTCCCCGCTTCCATATCTCCTTACCTTGCTCAGCACACAGGACTGCTGCCAGCACGGCAATCAGAAAAGCCTTCATGGTCGTTGTGCCCTCAGAGCCTGAACAATGTGTGCCACGGTAAGGTTTTATACTGGGACCACGTTTACTTTGACTTCCTTTGATTACAGTAATTTCAGTTTTGGGGAGTGACAGCACTTAAGATGTGATCAGTCATGGGTGTGTTTGTGCGTAGGAACCTATTATGAAGCTTCAGGTAGCAATTTTTTTTTACATCTCATTCTGATTCAATCTTTTTTTCCAAGGCCTACTCCTGCTGACCATGTCTGCATTGCTAATTTGGGGAACAATTTATCTGATTCAAACACGGGAGTCCCTTCTCACTCTGTTTGGCTAAACCGCGAAACCTGGAGCAAAGCAGAGGCAGCTGCGCCAGTCTGGAGTGGCTCATCGCTTGCAAGATAGTAGGCGTTGCCTGACATTTTCCATCCTTTCTCTCTGCCATGATATGAAAGTTTCATATCTGTGGGAAGTGGGAGAGGAAGCAAAAAAGGAGATTTTCACTGGATTGTCCGTAGTCCTTCAGAATTATCTCACTTTTACTAAGGAAAGTGCTTTAAGCAGAAAAACAGCTTGTATCATTCCTGCAATGACTTTATTTGTGCCTGGACACTGTCACTCCTAGGTTCCCATGATCCAGGCAGGGATGGGGTCTGATGCTTTTGATTTGCTCTCCTTCTCTGTCCTCTTGATGCATCCAGGGTTTCCAGTCACCAATGTTTGTTGCTATCTGTAGAGCAGCTCTGGACTCTATCAGGTTTTTCCAGCCCTCATGACCTTTCCAGTCCTTCTGGGCTCCCTCCTCCTACTCCCACAACCACTTCATCACCTCTTGCCAAATGACTCGGGGTGTAGCAGATGCAGAAAGTGCATGGAAATGGCTGCAGGACTAAAACTATAAATGGGAGCGAAAATTACTGAGAAATAAAACAAGTTCTGGTCAAGAACACATCTTAGCAGACCAAGACCAGAACCCTTTGTCTTTAGAGAGAGAAATGACCAAGGGGAGCTCAGACTCAAGGCTGGTAAGGCTGCAAATGATGTGGAAACAGAAGAACATGAAATTGCTATTTAATTTCCGCAAATTACCCCTCAAGCAGTTGGTTCATAGGCTTTTTTTCTGATCACCCCTCTGCAAGATCCTGGGCAGATGGCCCCATGCCAAACCCCTGTGACAAGTCTTTTGCTTCCAGTCATTCTTCCTTTACCCAGTTCCTCCTTTTCTGTAGCAGCTTCAGCCCCCAACGATTTCTGTATTTGTCTGTGCCCAGAGCAGAGTGGAGCGGATGAGCACCCAGTTCTCAAAGTCTTCCACTCTGTTCTCTGGATTGCCCTAACCTTGAGCATGAATCTTTAATTATCTACTCTTTTAGCAAGGATGCGAAAGACCCACGTGACAGCTAATGTAGCAACCCTACTTTGGAAATGATCTGTGAAAAAGCCATACTCTCTGAACAAGACTTTGTATAAATGCATGCGTGAATGACATCAGGCAGGAAACATGATCTGCTAGAGCACGGGGGGAAATAGCAGGTATTAGTCTACACGTTTGTTTTACGTGTAATAGCCAGGCTTCTCTCAGCCAGCTGAAGAAATGGCAAACAAAAGTTCCTTCCATCCACGTCAAAAATCCAGAAACGAAACTGAACTATTGCACTGAATTCAGCTCATCTCGGAGCCAACTGAGCAGAAGAATGCAGCTCCTCAGCAGGGAGAAGGGAGTAATGCATGAACACAGACACAACAAGAAAGAAGGAAAGCTTTGAAATTAAAAGAAATAAATGAACAGTAAATAAATGACACTGTTAAAGCAAAGTGCAGCTGAATAGAAAATCTGCAAGTGAGAAATGGTCTGTAGGAAGTGAAAATGTGAGAAAGCATTTAAATAGATTAGAGAGAGGGAAGGTTAATAATAATAAACAAGATTAATATTTCACTCAGAACTGGAAAGAGAAAGGAAGGGAGTTTAGAAATATAGGTGCAGAGCAAAATAAGTCAAAGCAGACACACAAAGCTTGGGGAGAAATAAAGACAGGCAAAGTGAGGGTAAGAAATCAGATGCGATAGGAGGGAAGTATCGATGCTTTACCATTTCTCCTATGGAGCATTATTTAGTGCTCTGCAAAATGTACACGTTATGTGCAGACACCGTTCAGGTATTAACCACAGCCCTTCAGGGTCTGAGGAGCATTTTCTACAGTTCCACAAATCCCAGTTTAACAAGCTACTGGTGTCAGACTGCAGGGTATCCTGTGGGGCTGGGATGGGGAAGGCATCTGTGGCATCACCTGCCCCTATCCCCATGTCCCTGAAGGAGAATACTGCAAAAGCTTTGGGACACAGACTGGGGCCTGGCCAGGTCCCAAAAACATGCTATTCTTGTGTGCTGTTGATATTACAATCACGCCCAGGGCCACTGCAAGGGCTCTGGGCTCCAACCAGCATCACAGCGGTAGGGTGGGGGGCGGGTGTCCTTTGAAGCAGCGAGCAGCCCACTTTTTTCAAGCAAGAGGAGAAGAGACCTGGGAGAAAAGCCGGGGCAAAGACAGCAGGGTAGTGGGAAGTGCAGATGGTGTCAGGAGACTTCAGGGAACAGAGCGCGGGGGTGTCAGAACTACTTTCCCAGAGATATGAAAAAAAGAAAGGGGAGGGCAGCAGGGTGAATCTTGCTGCAGAAACTGGGCTAGGTGGGTGCTAAACCAAAGGGTGTCACAAAAGGTATTAAAGAGTTAACAGAGCCTGGGAGTCCTGAGGAAGAAACCTTAACCCACTTCGATCTTGGCAGCCGACAGCATGTGTTTGTGCCAGACCTTGGGAGCGCATTGTGCAAGGCCTGTCCCTTTTGTGTAACTGGAGCCAGACAAAGCGTGTTTTCAACCCGTGATGGAGTGGCAGGGAGGAGCAAAATGCCAGGTCTGGGGGCGTTTTAAATGTGGATTGTCCCCACTTTCTCCCTTTTTCTTTCTGGAGGATGGCTCCAATCACAGCTCTCCTCTGTGGTGCAGGGAGGAAACTCTCTGCTTCAGTTCATGGTTGTAAACCGCAGCCTCAAAAGGGAAAGGAGAGGCCATGGGACAAGGTGAGAAGAAGGCAGCCGTGGGTAGTGCTCCCAGTGTCCCTGAGTCACACAGATGGTGTGTGAAGGGCAAATGGTCAAGGCCAGACCTGGACAACATCAGACTGATCTGGTCATGTCCTCTCCTTCTTCCTTGACAGGTCAGGGAAGGCTGGGTTGCTTCACCTGGCTGTGCAATGGCAACAGGGTTAGAGGAAGGACCAGAAGAGCAGAGATCATGGACCCCGAAACCGCAGGACAAAAGGAAGACCTGCATGTGACATTTTGCCTTTTCCACCTAAGGCCTGACTGTGGCAGACAGCCTGTTCTATTCTTCCCTTTCCCAAAGCACATGTGGGTCTGTAGCTGACCTAGTAAGCTCCAAACAACAGGACGGAGGCCCTCAGGTCAGCCTTATGGTAGATGACAGAGGCTACCAAACCTCCAGCTAGGAAGGATATGGGTAGCCCAGATCCACCGTGTCTGGCTGAAATACAAGGTGATCAAGGTAGACTTCCGTCTCAGCGTGCCAGCCATGATGGTCACAAGGAACCTTGTTATCCATCACAACAGGTGTGGAAACTGAGTTTTTTGGGGCCGCAGCTACCAGCCAACAGGGAAACAAAACCATTTTGTCACATTCCCTTAACCTCCAAGGTCCTAAGACATAATTCAGCCCCATCAGCTTGGAGGCTCATGGGGAGATATTATACAGCACCATCACTCATGATGTCAACGACTGTGGTTCACATTCCTGCTAAGGCCCTCTCTGAAATGTCAGATCCAGACTAGCTTATCAAACAGGGCACAAGCCCAGGCTCTACACCACCCATGCCATTGGACCGTCAGCCACCGTGATTCACATTCCTGTCAGTGCCCTGCCTGAAGAGTCAGATCCAGACTAGCTCACCAAACAGGGCACAAGCCCAGGCCCAACACTACCCATGCCATTGGACCATCAACGGGGCTTGGGCACACCCCAACAAGCATTGTCTCAAAGAGTGCCCTGACATGGGGCTGCTCCTTGCAAGTAATTTGGCTGTAACTACCCTGTTTGTAGAGGAAAGAGGTTAGAGCTGTGGATGTGAATCACCCTTCTTGGACACAGAGCCAAGGTTTATTATTCTGAGGTGGCACCTTTGCAGCCAGGAGGGGGTATATTGGAGACCTGCAGGGTCTGAAGGAAAAAGGGCAGTGAAGAAGGATGGTTGGGAGGAGGAAGAAGAGGTGAACGAGAAAACCCATTACCCTCCTGGGGCTCCCCCAAAAGAGTTAATGCAAGTCCTCCCCAAGAAGGATGCCACTGGCTACAACTGCATTTGGGGAGAAATGATCCTCACAGGTTTATTAAAGTTTGCACTTGGAACACAGCTCAGTTGATAGTTCCCATATCTGTCAATCCTTTTCCACTGAAAGTAAGAATTTCCCCTTGTCTGAGGTCCAGCCCTTCTGCTCCTCTTTCATGACATGAGTTGCCAATACACAGGCACTAAAAAAGGACCATTCCCCCTGTCACGTGTTCACACTGATCCTGACAAGTGATGCTCTGGTCTTGCTTTGGAAATCTTGGGCTGTGATAGGGATCTGAACTCTGCCAGTACAAATGTTTATGAAAGGCTGATCAAAAGATTTGCCATGGAAGATTTTGACCAGCTTCTACAGGAAGAAGAGTAGGCGACAGCTCTCATGTTTGTCTTCACAACTGTCTTGCTGATCACTGTGGAGTTTTTGTGTTTGTTTTGTGGAGGTTTTTAGATTAAACTTTAAACTTTAGGGCTACGAGGATGGTGAGGGGACTGGAACATCTCTCCTACGAGGAAAGGCTGAGGGAGCTGGGCTTGTTCAGCCTGAAGAAGAGAAGGCTGAGAGGGGACCTTAGAAATGATTACAAATATCTGCAGGGTGGGCGTCAGGAGGATGGGGCCAGTCTCTTTCCAGTGGTGCCCAGTGACAGGACAAGGGGCAATGGGCACAAACTGAAGCACAGGA